TTAAAGTTTTACTAAAATATTTCACGTGACCCCCCCTTTTTCCCTTATTTTTTTGGGATGGCCCCCCTCGAAAGCCATTTTTTTTCGCATGGCCCCCCCTCCAAATCCCACCAGCCCCCCCTACCTTATAAAAAATGAACGGTCCCTAAGGTGAAACCTTAAATGTCTGTTTAATTAATTAATTTCAATAATTAATTAACTAACTAGTCTAGAGGCAAGGAAGTAGTGAAGGTGAGGTGGGAAAGGTACCTGTGTACTCTACGTAAAACATATTCCACCTAGTTGAGTGTGAACATCGCAAAGCTATACATTTGTTTCAGGTACCCTGTGGTACTATTCTCTATAGAACAAAACCAATTTGTTCTGATTAGTTAGCGTTCTGGTCTTCTATATATTAGGTGGAGATACGTTTTATACGGGATCACACACAAATGTTGGGTGCTTTTCCTTATGCTTTTCGAATAAGCGCCTCCTTCGAATCTGGTATTATTAATAAGCGCTCCTGTTCCAATAAGCGTCCCTGTTCTCATATTATAAGACTTATTAATATTACCGCATTACAAAAACAGTGGTATTCGTCTGAGTTTCTCAACTTTTATCTCCGCGTGAGTGCATAATTCCTCTAAACTAATGAACTTTGAGGCGATTGCTCGGTTGTTTCTCGAAAAAGAAATAAGCGCCCTGTCCCGAATAAGCGTCCTCCCTTGAGATATCAAAAGTGAATAAGCGCCCCTGGTGCTAAATCGAATCATTACGGTGGGCATATCTCTTGTTTTGGGACGATCTAGAATTAACCTTTTATGATGAATTTAAAACTCAAAAATATATAAGGCAAGAACTAAAACAGAAATGTTACTAAAGGTAACCTTCAACTGCTACAGTAGAACTAAGTTCTTGAATTCCATCAAAAAATAAACAAATCATTCAATCAATAAACAAGTTAGACTGTTCACAGCCCCTCTATTTATGCACGCGAATGAAAAAGCGAGCGAAGCGCATGCGAAGTACGCGGAGGTGGGGCTTGCGAGCGAAGTGAGCAGGAAGAATAGAGAGGCTGTAGACATCTTTGGAAAAAAGTGGACTTATCAGGCTCCTCCCCCTGTTATCGCCTTTTTACTAACAGCTCCACCCTTTGACAAATTAATTAAATCGGACCAATAAAATTTGAGCGGTAAAATGGCTTGTTTAATTGATTTCAAGTGTCAGTTTGCGAACAAAAATACGCACGTGTATTTGTGTGTCGAGATGTCGTCTCAGACGACTTCTTTAACTCCGAAGAAAGCTGCTAAAAGGGGGAGAAAACCGAAATCAAATAGTCCTTCCGATTTTTGTGGGATGTGCGTTGTTTTTTTGCTATTCGCTTGGGGAATCCTGGTAAGACGTCATACATATCTGTGGAGAATATACAGTCAAGCCTGTATTAGGCGGACACCCTCGGGACCCATGCTAGTGTCAGCTTAATACAGGGTGTCCGTTGAAAGCACCTTGCCTCAGAATTCGTCTTAATATTCCTCAGTATTGAAAGACCTTGAAAGGGTCAAATAGCATTCTCGTGAACGGAAGAGAACTCGGAAATACCGTATTTCCATAAACAATGACAAGTATATGAGGTAAAGCGATTTAAGTATACAGTAACAGTATCTATATTGATCGAATCATGTGAAGATTTACGAAAGCAAACAAGAACAAAAGTTCTGTAAAAATAAAACCGAATAACAAAATATTGCATTTCTGTGACAGCTCAGTTTGTTGACCGATCTACTAACACGTGGACAAAAAATCATGCATTCTTTTTGCAGTGTCCGTTTGATACAGGTTTCTAACAATAGAAATGACCATCAAAGTCAAGTTAAAGGTGTCCGCGTCGGCTTAATAGAGGTGTCCGTTGAATACAGGTATTTTTTACAGTGAATGTGGGAAAAGGAAAATGGAACTTGCACTGCTGTCCGTTTAATAGAGGGTGTCCGCTTAATATGAGGTCAGGTTTGACCGTATTCAGAAGATGTTACACGGTGTGGTACTCGTCGACTTCAAAGAGCGTGACACAATTGTTTAGCGGAGAATCTTCTTTCTATAACATGCTTTGGGATTTTGCATCCAAAAAGTCCTCCGCAGTCTTCCGAAAACAAGCTTGTATTTCGCTCCTCCAATCAGCAGAAGCACGTCGTCCTTTGTTGACAAAACGATGGAAAGAATCCCAAGCTCTTCCATCTCTTCTATTTGTTCTTTCATGGTGCTTTTGAGTGACGAAACAATGAGAACAACAACATTAACAACATTCGCACCGTTTGCATTTCTTTTGCCGTTGCGTAGAGTTGATATATCAGACTTTCCTCAAAGCCGGTCGGCAAAATTGCAATAACGTCTTTCGACCGAAGAAGATGAACAGCAGCCTCTTCCTGTTCATCTTTGAGCGAAGAAACGTTGAATTTTCTCTCAACAGGCTTCTATTTTAAAAACAACCGCTCCATTACGAATCACGGTACGTGTCACGTGATGACAACTACTGCAAGCCGCAAAACGCATCTGGACGCAATCACGATCAGCCGTTGTCAAAGCGATTGACACTTTTGTCGCCTTTCAACCAATAGGAATTTTCCGTTTCTGGAGAAACGAGGAATTCACTTTTTTCCAAAGATGTCTACAGCCCCTCTATTTATCTCCGTCCCCACCCCCTACCCAGTCAGGTCTTCCGTTTTGCGCTAGCGTCCAGTTCTCTCGCGATTCTATCCGCGCGTTCATCGATGGAATTAAAATACGAGAAAACAGAGGGCTGTGAACAGTCTATAAAGTAAACAAATAAATAATTCTAAAGAGATAACTAAATAAATCAATTTTAAAACAAGTTGGGCAATGGCGTGCTTTATAATGTCGATAATGTTGTGTTCTGTCATAATGACAATTGATGAAGAAAAAGACATCTGTTTACCTTGTATTTCTGCATCTTTAAGCAGAAACGCTCCAAAAAAGGTGCTCCTTCTGTCCATGAAAAATCGCCCAGCGAATGGTACTTTAACAGAGACAACGTCGCCTTCCTGAAGTAAGAATACCCCGCCATGATACTTGGTGTTGTACTTCCTTTCGGCACTAATAACGCTCCCTGAACTTTCCATGACCTTTTCATGATTGATGTAGGTGTTGTGACCCATCTGTATGGTGGTGCCATCATAGTAATACATTTGGCTGTAAATGTAGTAATAGCCCTTTCTCGTCACCCTAATGTGCCCGGTTGATGGGCTGTACATGATGGCTCCGTTGATGAGCTTAACGTTCCAGCTGGTTATAGCACGGGAGCTCCGATGGAAAACTGCGAAGAAATCACGTGATTATTCAGTGACATTTTTGCGTTAACGCTTCTCTTGGTGGAAGAGGGGCAGAAGCGTCACGTGACGACTCAAATTAAAATAACAGCTTCGGAATTTTGTCACCTACATGAATTTATTCTGAATAAGTTGCTGTTCTGTCGAGAGGAGGTTAATCTATAGATTTAGCCAAGCCTAAAAGCGGAGCTCCTGATTACAAACTATTGTAAAGTTTCCATATAACGTGTGCTCTGACTGGCTGAAACAACTTGCTTAATCAGAGAACTGATGCACGGGATGATGATGGTAAGTTGGCTTTCAAATTTTTGCTTCGAAATTATAACAAATTTGACCCAAATTAAACGTATTGTATGACTCAAACAAACTAATGGAAACGAGCTATTTGTTCGCAGTAACTATGGCAGCGCGGAGACCATTGTTAACCGGCAACAGTAGCGTGAATTAAAAACTCTACTAAAATAACACGTTTTGCTAGATTCCGACAAAACATGCAGCCGGCGAAATAAACAAATTCTCAACCTAGCGAATGCTTCGATAAAAGACATTATATTTGTCACGAAGGCAGAAATTATAAAACAACGACAGAAAACACCAATTGAGCGATCTCTGTTTATGATGAGAAGCTTTATTTTTGTAAAAATGCTCAAACAACACTTACATGCGGTGTAGTAACGCTCGTTTGCCTACTATCGATCTCCGGTCATTACAGCCAACTGAACCTCGATGATTTCGTATCATCGTCCACCCGACGAGTGATTAGTTGAAAGCTTGCTTGATATTCTCTCCTGCACTCGGAGTAGAACTAGTGGAAGTAGTCTAGTCTTTCAAACTTTGACGTTAGTTCGGGCAATCTCGCTGCAAGCGGTTGCAAGCCGTAAATAACTGTAGCTCCTTTCAAATACAACTCAGCATTTCGCATTTTTATCCGGAAGCTTCGAGCTCCCTGTTTCGTGATTTCCATCGGAAAGTGCACGTCTTCATGACCCACTAAAAAGCAAACTTTGAAGGCATCGTTCTTCTCTCGAAAGCCACTCTAAACTGAAAACTTACCTGAAGTCCAGTTTGTGATTGACAGCTGTCGTCTCGTTAACCAATCAAATTATTTGATCAATTCTAACAAGGATTGTGATTGGCTTATTTTAGCTTGCTTTATCAGAGAACAGATGCACACTGACGCTACTTTTACTCGTTTGGAAAATAAAGTTTGGTTTGAAAATTCAGCCGAATGCGTGGG